TTTTTACGTTGGGATCTGGTTTCATATGATAAGTCCTGGAACACCTTGACATTCTGGAAAGGGCCCGAAGAAACCGGATTTAGTCTGGCAGCTTTTAAAATCGATTCCTTGAAATCAAATGCGAAAAAACAAACCATGATGACGTGAGGTAAGTCATTCTGAAGTGATTGCGGTTTAAATAGTCTATGACACCTTTCAATTGGTTGTTCTGATGAATTATATGTAGTTCCCAAGGCGGATATATATTCTATCACAATTTGTTTAACATTGTCCCAGGGGTGTACCTAGAGCATTTGGCACCTGGGGCGGATCCTGTGCTTGGTACCCCCTTACCCCCCCCCAAAAGCCCCGCCCCCAGCACCAGTTTGGCTCCGCCTCCGATTTTGCTTAGCTCCGCCTCACTTTTCCTCTGTGCGGCCATGGGGCACTGTGAGGCCACAGCTCACACAGCCCCCTCCAGCCAGGGCCGGTGCAAGGATTTTTGCCGCCCTAGGCAAAAGTAAAGTTTGCCGCCCCCCCATGTGACATCACAATGCCTCACCCATATAATTTTCCATGTTATCTAACGCCAGTGCTGCAGTGCCGCCGTGTTTACATTAAAAGGCCTGCAGGGAAAGGCTATAGACACCAGAACCACTACATTAAGCTGCAGTGGTTCTGGGGACTATAGTGTTTCTTTAATGTGAGGTAAATTAGAGATTAGTGCCACGAAAAATATACTAGATTGCCTACTTACAACCAGATGAGGATGATGATGGGCTCTAGCTGAAGTCTGGCTCCACTGGTCTGGTGTAGAACAGGCTCTCTGGAGGCTGTTTGTAACTGTTCTGGGAGAACGGGAAGCAGCTCCATTTTTTGGGAGCCCTTTACACAGCTCAAGTTCTGGGTCCCAGGGTCCACCTTCATGTTTCACCAATGAGTTTGTTCACAGGGGGTGGAGTGTGTAGGGGATGTCCTGACATGTGTGTAAGGAATGCATTGTGTGAATCTGTGTTTGTATGTGTAAGGGCTGCAAGGTGTGTTTCTGTGTATGTACGGGATGCATTGAGTGTGTGTAATGAATGCATTTTGTGTTTCTGTGTGTGTAAGGGATGCATTGTGTGTAACGGTTGCATTGCTTGTGTATGTGTGTCTGTGTGTGTAATGCAGTGTGTGTAATGCATTGTGTGTTTTTCTGTGTGCAAGGGGTGCATTGTGTGTGATGAATGTCAATCTCTCCCCCCCTCCAATTTCCTTCTCTCCCCCTCCCAATTGCTTTCTTTATCCCCCTCTCCCAATCTTTCTTTATCCCCCCTCAAATTTCCTTCACCCCTCCCAATTTCCTTCTCCCCCCTCTCCAATTTCCTTCCCCCCTCCCAATCTCTCCTTATCCCCCCAATCTCTCATTATCCCCCCTCCCAATCTCTCCTTATCCCCCTCCCAATCTCTCCTTATCCCCCCATCCAATCTCTCCTTATCCCCCCATCTCTCCTTATCCCCTCATCCAATCTCTCCTTATACCCCCATCTCTCCTCATCCCCCATCTCTCCTTATTCCCCCATCTCTCCTTATTCCCCATCTCTCCTTATTATTTCCCCCATATCTCTCCTTATACCCCATCTCTCCTTATTCCCCCCCATCTCTCTTATTCTCCCCATCTCTCCTTATTCCCACCCATCTCTCCTTCTCCCCATCTCTCCCTTATTCTCCCCATCTCTCCTTATTCTCACCCCCCATCTCTCCTTTATTCTCACCCCCATCTCTCCTTATTCTCACCCCCACTTTCTCCTTATTCGCACCCCCATCTCTCCTTACTCCCCATCTCTCCTTACTCCCCCAATCTCTCCTTATTCTCCCCCCCCACACCTTTAACAGTAGCGTGGCCGAGCCCTGTATCATGGTCCGCGGGTACAGGGAGCTTTTGTTTCCTGTACCCAGCCGGACTAACAGGAAGTGCACACTTCCTGTTAGTCCGGCCGGGTACAGGAGACAGATGCTCCCTGTACCCGCGGACCAATAGAGGGCTCGCCCACGCTACAGAGAGGGAGTGACAGGAGGGGGCGCTGAGCGCTTCCCTCCTGTCAGCCCCTCTCCTCATGCTGTGCCCGGGCGGTGCGCCCTCATGGACACACCGCCCAGGCAAAGCTGCAGCCGCCTGAGGCTCTCTACAGAGCGCTCGGGCAGCTGCAGCATGGGGGGGCCGGCGCTCCTGGCGGCACCCCCTCCTAAAGCACCCCCCACCCTGGTGGCACCCGGGGCGGACCGCCCCCTCCGCCCCCCCCCTTAGTACGCCACTGCATTGTCCTGAGTTCCCTTCTCCGGCAAATTTCTGAAGCGCAGATTTTTTCCGCCTAGAACGATCTTCCAAATCGCTCACTTTAAATTCGAGGTCTGAGATTTTGCGGAGTGCCATTTGGTAATCATCGTTCAGGTGATTTACTTGAAGGTCCATATCTTTTAATTTAACCTCAAAACCATTTTGCTACCAGGATATTTATTTCCATTTTTATATCTGATTTTATTTCTGTAGCCACTACAGCCAGTTCAGGTTTTATCTTGTCTAAATTGGCCTTTAAACTAGTATGTAACAGAGAAATAGTAATTAATTCCTTGTCAGGATTTTTTATACCTTCTGACTCTGTATTCTCTGAACTGAGATCCATATCAGTCATCCTATGCTTTAGTGTCTTGTGCTGCTGAGGAGAAAAATAAGTATTTATCTTGTGCATTTTCTTGTAAAGAGTCTTTTTTGTCTTTCCTCATAGAGGATTTTGTTTCATATGACTTTTTCATGGCCGTAGTTATCGTGTCCAAATGGTTAAATGGCTTTAAAATACACAAAGTGGCCTCAAAACGGCTAGCAAGTGTATATAACTTAACAATTGCAAGAGAGAAGGTCGAAAAAAGGCTCACTCAAATAATTAAATAGTGGCACTTAACTCTAACAGCCTGGACCGCTGTATAGTATGTGTAAGTTGTCAATTTACAGCTATTTTTAGCCCAGCTCTTCAACAGCAACAGTGGCGGCTGATAACCGTCATGGTGGATACATCAACCCAACTAGCTGCAACTGCAGCAGCACAAGGCACTGACCGGACCGGACCGGAGCCAGCAGCAAGACACCCGCAGAACACAGCAAGGCAAGGCAATCGCTATCCGGTGTGGGGTTCTGGCAAAACCAAGAGCGGGTCCTTCCAGGCAGAGAGAGGAAAAAGGCCGCGAAGTAAACTCCGTTCACGCTAGGTCTTGGCGGGTCTCCCCTCCTCTTCCGTCATCACGGCGCACAAGCGTCAGCGGCAGGCTTATGCAATGTATGATCATATAATGTAACTAAATCCCCATACTTTGCATATATAGTGCTTAGTTATGTCTCCTCTTGTTTTGCATATCATATCTTGTCTTGTTTTAGTTAGTACTCCCAGTCCATGTACAGTCCTGTCCTGTCCTGCCCCTGTTTAGTTAATGTTCCC